ACACAGTCCGAGCACAAGAGCAAGGCCACAAGGCCAGTTCACATGCAAGGTCATCTATATAAAGGTAAAACAAGCAAGGGCAGGTATAGAAAGAATACAATACAAATAAGATCAAGAAGTAAGCAAGTGAGGCCAAGTAGGCACAAGACCAAGCAGAGTACAGAAGCGCTGATGATCACAAGGCGGAAGGGCCTTGGTGAAGATATCAGCAGTGTTGGCCTCAGAGGCCACGTAGGTGAGGCGGAGCTGACCACGCTGCTGCAACTCACGAGCCAGGAAGTAGTGGAGAGCAATGTGCTTAAAGATGTGCTCCAGTCAATGCTCCCGACACAAGGCCAGCATGGCCTTGTTGTCTACGTACAGAACTGGAGGAGATTGAGGCGGGTCTCCTAGATCAGTCAGCAGGTAGGTGAGCCAGCATAGCTCCTGTGCAGCCATGGCACCCGCGTAGATCTCAGCCTCATAGGAGGAGGTGAGAACAGAGACGAGCGGGTAGACCGCCACGAAACAAAGCCGGAGCCAAGGCTGAAGGTGTAACTCTGTGAGGACTGCTGCGTAGCCTGGTCGTCAGCCCAAGAAGCGTCCGCGGGACCTAAGAGGACCACTCGACGTCGCCCTCCAAGCACTAGCCCCATGCCCGATGTACTGCACAAGTAGCGCAACACCCTCTTCGCTGCAGCCATGTGCTCTAGTCACTGTCTCCCAGGAGGAACATAGTGTGCCAAGATGCTAAGAGGGTATGCAAGGTCAGGTCGTGTGCAGGTCATCAGGTACATGAGGCAGCCAACAAGCTCTAGGTACGGGCCACGCGGCTCTATGGACTCATCCGAAGGCAGAGCTGAGAGCGAGTGGCGAGTAGACAGAGGAGTGGCCTGAGGCAAGGAGTACGTGAAGCCGAAGCGCTGAAGGACCTGCTGCACCATGTGTGACTGAGTCAGGGTAATGGTGCGCTGTGCTCTGTCTCGGGTGATCTGCAAGCCAAGGTAGCTGCGTAGTTCACCCAAGTCTGTGCACGTGTGTCTCTTCTGCAGCTCAGACTTCACGTGGGCGAGTCCAGCACTGTCACCAGTTGCAAAGACCAAGTCGTCGGCGTACACGAGGATGTAGAACGGCGGCAAAGAGGTGTTGGTGCGCAAAAACAGCGACGGGTTAGCTGTAGAAAGAGCAAACCTAAGAGCCGCAAGTGTAGTCCTCAGTGTGTCGTGCCACTCACGGGGCGCCTGGCGGAAACCGTAGACTGGCCGCCGGAGGCTCCACTGGGTACCAGGGGGAAACGACCTAGTGAAGCCAAATGGACGGCGCAGCCAGTTCTCCTCGTACAGGCTGCCCTGCAGGAAAGCTGTGTTGAAGTCAAGAGAGTGAAGCTCGTAGTCGGGCTGAGCGGCAACGTGCACCAGCACCCGAAGAGTGGTCATCTTTGGGGTGGGAGAGAAGTTATGAAAGTAGTCAGCTCCCTGCCGCTGACCGAAGCCTCGAGCCATGTAACGTGCCTTGAAGACAGGCGGGGAACCCGGCGGGCACTTCACCCTGTCAATCCACATGCCACTAACGATGTTCGCCACTGGTGGGGGAACTTCGTCGACGTAAGTGCCTGTGGACTTCCAGGAAGCCATCTCTGCGTCCATGGCCGACTGCCACTGAGAGGAGTAGGGGCCCTCGATCGCCTTAGCGTACGATCGTGGAGTCGGGATGTCTAGTGCATCCGGGTCTCCCTCAGAGCAGAGCAGCACCAAAGCACTGGAACTCCTCGTGCCTGTCCTCAAGGACGTCCATGCTAAGAGCACACTCACCCCCGACGGACGGAGCACAGACAGACTCAGACTCAGCAACGAGACTAGCAGCGTAGTCTAGATGATAGCGAGCAGCGATGTCCACAAGCTCAGCAACTAGGGCAGACGCAGCAGTGGACTCAAAGGAAGGGTCAGTGACAACAGTAGCAAGGAGACGCGTCACCGCAGGACTAGCAGCATGAAGAGAGTTAGACTCCGGATCAGCAAGAGAAGGAAGAGAGGACTCTGGAGGAGACGGCAACGGTACACGCAAAAGAGCACTGGAAGGATGCAGCGCCATCTGGTGTGTGCCGGGGACTGCAGGAGGACACGGACGCGCAGTACAACCACTAGCTTGAGCAGCACAAATAGGCGACGCAGGACAAGACGCAGGCTCATGACGCTCAGCAAGACCTCCAGTAGGACCAGTGTAGGGAGAAGAAGCTGGTAGAGGGGAGGCGGGCTGTAACTGTGACTGCGACTGGAGAGGTTGTGGACACTCTAAGGGAGGAGCAGGACCAGTAGAGGGCGGGAGACCAAGAACCTGCTCTAGGAGCGGAACGAAGTACGGCCTCGGCCGCGCAGCGCCTCCAGAACCAATAAGGACGGCACCAGTACCCCCAGCGGCAGCACCAGCGCCAGCAGCACCTCCAGCTCCAACAGCGCCAACTCCAGCACCCTTAGAAGCCCCAGCGCCACCAGCACTGCCAGCATCAATACCCCCAGCAGCTCGAGCTTCATCAGCACCAAGTCTAGGAGGACTGTCGGCACAAGCAGCCTCAGCAGCACCCCCAGACGCACCAACGCCAGTAGAAACACTAGCGCCAACACCCCCTCCAGCTCCAGCTCCAGCAGCACCAGCACCGCCAGCAGCTCCAGCAAGACCAACTCCAGTAGCCCCAGCAGCACCCCTAGTCCCAGCAGAGAAAACTGAAACGAGAATGATTGACTAAGGTATGAAAGTGATACAAATATGCAACCCTATAAATGTGTACCCCATATAGGCTACCCCACTATAGCCTACATAACATTATAATTTCACACACCCCCATAAGCAAAGTGGGGGAGAACAAGGGGTCAGAAGACCAGTCAAGCAATACAAAGAAAAGCTCAGGGTGTATCACAACGTCACCACACATTCCGAGCACAAGTTCAAGGCCAGAAGGCCAGTTCACATGCAGGAACACATATCTATATAACAGGCTAAACAAGCAAGAGCAGGAGTATATATATATGTCACAGTACAAGCAAGGTCAAGAAGTGAGTAAGTGAGGCAAGACAGGCACAAGACCAAGCTGAGTACAAAAGCGCTGATGATCACAACGCGCAAGTGCCTTAGTGAAGATATCAGCAGTATTGGCCTCAAAGGCCACGTACGCAAGTCGCAACTGACCACGCTGCTGCAGCTCACAAGCAAGAAAGTAGCGGAGAGCAATGTGCTTCGTTCTGTGCTCCAGGCGCTGCTCCCGACACAAGGCCAACATGGCCTTGTTGTCTACGTACAGCACTGGAGGAGAACCAGGCGGCTCTCCGAGGTCAGTCAGCAGGTAGGTGAGCCAGGGAAGCTCTTGAACAGCCATGGCTCTAGCGTAGATCTCAGCCTCACAACTGGAGCCGAGAACACAAGACGAGCGAGTAGCCCGCCATGAAACAGAGCCGGAGCCAAGGATGAAGGTGTAACCCTGTGACGACCGCTGTGTAGCCTGGTGATCAGCCCAAGAAGCGTCTGCGTGCCCTGTGAGGACCACTAGACTCTGCCCTCCAAGCACTAGCCCCATGCCCGAAGTACTGCACAAGTAGCGCAACACCCTCTTCGCTGTAGCCATGTGCTTTGGTCTGTGTCTCCCAGGAGCAACAAAGCGTGCAAGAATCCTAAGAGGGTATGGAAGGTCAGGTCGTGTGCAGGTCATCACGTACATGAGGCAGCCAACAAGCTCTACGTACTATTGGTGCAACCCTACGGTTTGCACTCGGCTTGTTGTCCGTCTGCGTGCATGTGTGTGTGTATGGAATGGTATGAGGGCATGAGATAATATATATTTCATGCTTATAATTGTGTGTGAATGTTGAGTCATGATGTCGAGTGTGTGTGTCGAGTCAATAGCGAGTTATCGCTAGACGCGTGTTACGCGGTCGTTTGTGTCTCGCGCGCGGTTTTTTTTTTTGTCGTGCGCGGTTTCTATTTTGTCCTGTGTTGAACGTTCGGTGTGTCGCAGGTTTGTGCAGCAGACCCATCAAAAACTCAAGGATGAGTTTGTGATGAAGAGCCCGAGCCTTGGTGTCAAGCCTCAAGTGATTTCGAAGCTCGCCAAAAGGGCACACCTCAAGATATTGAAGATAGTTACATTACTTTGTGTAGTGTAACATTTCACTTGGTGTAGGCCCTAGTGAAGAGTAGTTTGGAGACCCTTCGTGGTTGGGGAGAGTGTGGCACAATTCCACATCACTGTACCTCGGCTATTGGGGTTTGTAGGAGCTGGGAGTCATTCCCAACTCGTAACTCTTCATATCTCTTCCTATTTTGTGTTCTAAGACTATAGTGGCTGCCATAGTGCCGTTCGATCAAACCGACACTGTGTCGTCAATATTTGGCAAAAATGTGCGATCTAAATTGCCTATTCTAGGTGACGTTTAGACACTCCAGATCCAAGTTGAATCAGGTCATTTAAAATTGTGACCAGAACGCTATGAACGTTTGAAGCCGCTGTGCAGAAATCCGGCTGTGCACTCTATCTTTTGTTTTAGGCACATTGGAGCCTATTGTGAATATAACAGGTACGGGCCACTCGACTCTACGGACTCATCCAAAAGCAGAGCTGAGAGCGAGTGGCGAGTAGGCAGAGGAGTGGCCTGGGGCGAGGAGTACGTGAAGCCGAAGCGCTGAAGGACCTGCTGCACCATGTGTGACTGAGTCAGGGTAATGGTGCGGCGTGCTCTGTCTCGGGTGATCTGCAAGCCAAGATAGCTGCCCAGTTCACCCAGGTCTGTGCACGTGTGTCTCTTCTGCAGCTCAGACTTCACGTGGGCGAGTCCAGCAGTGTTAGCAGTGGCAAAGACCAAGTCGTCGACGTACACGAGGATGTAGAACGGCGGTAGAGAGGTGTCGGTGCGCAGAAAAAGCGACGGGTCAGTAGTAGAGGGAGCAAACCCAAGAGCCACAAGCCTAGTCCTCAGTGTGTTGTCCCACTCGCGCGGTGCCTGGCGGAGACCGTATAATGGCCGTCGGAGGCTTCACTGGGTGCCAGGAGGGAAAGTCCAAGTGAATCTAGGTGGACGACGCAGCCAGATCTCCTCGTGCAGGCTACCCCCCGAGAAAGCAGTGCTGAAGTCAAGGGAGTCAAGCTCGTAGTCACGCTGAGCGGCTATGTGTAGCAGCACCGAAAGAGTGGTCATCTTTGGGGTGGGAGAGAAGGTCTGAAAGTAGTCAACTCTCTGCCGCTGACTGAAGCCACGAGCCACGTACCGCGCCTTGAAGACAAGTGGAGAACCTTGCGGCCGCTTCACCCTGAAGATCCACATGCCACTGACGATGTTCGCCCCAGGAGGGGGAAATGCGTCAACGTAGGTGCCTGTGGACTTCTAGGAAGCCATCTGTGCATCCATAGCTGCCTGCCACTGAGAGGAGTAGGGACCCTCTACGACCTCCGCGTAAGAGCACGGAGTCGGGATGTCAAGTGCATCCGGGTCTCCCTCAGGGGTAAGCAGTACGGACACGAGATGAGGTGAAGCAGCAGCCAGACACTGGAACTCCTCCTGCATGTCCTCAAGGACTACCGTGCCAAGAGAACACTCACCCCTGACGGACGGAGGACAGACAGACGCAGACTCAGCAACAAGTCTAGTAGCGTAGTCTAGAGGACAGCAAGCAGCTAAGTCGACGAGCTCAGCAACAAGAGCAGACGCAGCACTGGACTCAAAGGAGGGGTCAGTGAGGATAGTAGCAAGGAGACGCGTGACAGTAGGACTGGCAGCACGAAGAGAGTCCGATTCCGGGTCGGCAAGTGCAGGAAGAGAGGACTCAGGAGGAGAAGGCAAAGAGGCACGCAGAGGTGCACTAGACGGACGCAGAGCCATCCGGTGCGTGCCAGGGACAGGAGGAGGACGCTGACGCGAACCGCGACCACTAGTGCGAGCAGCACGAACAGGCGACGCAGGACGAGACGCAGGCTCACGACGCTCAGCAAGACCTCCAGTAGGACCATTGTAGGGAGAAGGAGCAGGCAGTGGGGAGGCTGGCGGAAGCTGTGACTGGGACTGGACAGGCAGTGGACACTCTAAGGGAGGAGGAAGACCAAGAACCTGCTGAAGGAGCGGAACGAAGTACGGCCTAGGCCGCCCGGCGACTCTAGACACATCAAGGACAGCACCAGCGCCAACACCACCGTTAGCTGCAGGACCTCCAGCAGGACCAGCAGCACCCGCAGCAGGACCAGAGCCAGCAGCACCTCCAGCAGCACCAGCAGCACCTCCAGCAAAACCGTCTCCAGGACTGACAGCAGTAGCGTCAGCGCCAACACCCTCAGTAGCTCCAGCTCGAAGCGAACCCGCAGGCCTAGCAGCTCCAGTACTCGCGACACGAACACCTCCGGGACCGGCGGCACCAGCACCTTCAGCAATCGCAGAAGCTCCAGCAGTACGCCTCCAGCGCCGGGCAAACCACTCACGCAGCTCCTGTGGAGAGAGTGGCTCCCGCCGAGGCGAGGCACCCAAAGAACCTCCAGGCCCAGCATCGCCAGACACCACACCAATAGGCCCAGCGGCCGCCGGCTCCGCACCCCCCAGCTCAGCAGCTCCAGACGTGGCACCTCCAGACGTAGGACCTCCAGGCTCAGTACCCCTAGGCGTAGCACCCCTAGACTCAGCACCCCCAGGCGTAGCACCCCCAGGCTCTGCACCCCCAGGCGCAGCACCCCCAAGCTTAGCACCCCTAGCAGTACCACCCGAAGGCCCAGCACCCCCAGGCGTAGTAACCACCCGCGCAGCACCCCCAGAGTCAGCACCCCCAGGCTCAACACCCACAGTAGCACCAGAGTCACCAGTTACCTCGACCGGCTCGACCGCGTCTACGTGGGACACACCTGAAGGGGCAGGACCCTGAGGGGGGAGGGGGTCTACCGGGGGGGGGACCTGGCACAAGGAAGAGCGGTGGCGGGGGGAGGGAAGGAGTGCGGTAGGGGAAGAGGCGGTAGTAGGGGACCGACTCGTCAAACGTGACATCGTGAGAGGACAGAACACGACGAGAGGTGGGGTGGTAGAACTGCCACCCTTGCGCGTCAGGGGGGAAGCCAAGGAAGAAGCAAGGAGCAGCACGGGGGGACAATTTGTCCGCACACAAGTCACGGAAAAACGCCCGAGATCCCCAGACACGGAACGCAGACGCATCGCCTACCTTCCTTGTCCATAGCAAAGCTGGGGAGGTCTCCGGCCTGGAGACCCTGGGGTGAAGGTTGATCTGATGCGCCACGTACCGAACCGCAACCGGCCACAGAAAATGGGGGGCAGCCGCATGCATCATGGACGTACGAGCGACGTCCATGGCCATGCCAAAGCGGCGCTCAGCAATCCCGTTTTGCTGTGGAGAGTCCGGAAGCGTAAAGGTTTGGCGGATGCCTCGCGCACGGCAGTAGGCTTGCAGATGGCCAGAGGAGAACTGGAAAGTCCAAGCCAAAGCTCCTCTTGAGCTGGAGACGAGCTGCGCGGATCCAATCGATCAACACCCCAGTGACATCGCCCTTGCTGCGCAAGGGGAAGACTGTGGTGTAACGCGAGTAGTCTTCAACCACCAGCAGAAAGTAGCGCTCGTGACCCTGTCCACGGACGCCGGCCGGGCCCCACACGTCCATGTGAAGCGTCTGCAGCGGGGCCTCTGTCGGGGGAGACGGAGAGGAGTGAGGAGCAGCCCATAGCCGCCCCTCAACACACGGAACACAAGAAGGACCAGGCCCTGAAGGAAGGGGAGGGAGGGACCGGGGAAGACCAGAGACAAGGACACGGGAAGCCATGCCTTGGGGACGAGGCAGTGAAGGGTGACCAAGAAGGTGGTGCCAGAAGAGAGTCTCGTGAGACAGGAGGCGACACGAGTAGGGGGCAGACTCAGGACCAGACCAGGACGTTGTAGCAAACACCTGACCCGACGCAGCTACCTGACCAGACGCAGGGACAGGAGGAGACTCAGTGGTCAGGGTGTAGAGGCTCGACCCCGGCCGACGCGTAAACGTGGCCAGATGCCGGCCTGTGCGAGTGTCCGAGCAGTGGGTCACCCGCTGAATTGCAAGAGTAAACTGGTGAACCCCCGCATCCTGAAGGTCAGCACCACTCACCAAGTTCGTAGAGAACGAGGGGAGGCAAAGACCAGACAAGGTGCCAGAGGGGGCAGCCGGACACGGGAGGACAGTGGAGAAGTGAGAGAGGACCGGACCCCCAGAGGGGTCTGCCAGGGAGACTGCAACCGGCCGACCAAGCGGCGTGAGTGTGGTGCGGTCTCGAAAGAAGGAGCGAGAAGCCCCTGGGTCAAGTGTGAAGGTGAGGGAGGCCGAAGCCGACGCGGTACCTGAGAGCGCAGACTCACCAGTACCAGAGGACGCAGACGCACTAGCACCTAGAGCAACAGCCGCACTAGCACCTAGAGCAGCAGCCTCACCAGTACCTAGAGCAGCAGTCTCAATGCCCGGATCGGGCGGGAAACACCGGTAACAGTCACCCTCGTCACTATAAGTCACAGCATACATGGCAGCAAGAATTGCATCAAAGTCAAGACCAAAGATAGCACCTGCCCTTGAGAGCTCTCCCCGGCGAGGGATCTCAGCGGCCTCCGGGAACTGGTGACGCCAAGCGTCCGTCAGGCGGCCAAAGCAGCGCTGGGTGGAGTGGGCACCCCCAAACTGCTCACCCGCGCGGTCGCCGGTGCGAAGGACGTAGGTGCACGTACCAAAACCCCCACCACGCTGACGCGCAGCGTACCACTCAAGGAGCTGCTGAGGGGGGGGGATGTCACGAGAACGTTGTTACTGCTGCTGCTGGCGCTGACCACCTTTGGAGCCGCTCCGCTGCGTAGCGCCAACCCGACCAGCTCCACTTCCTCCACCACCGCCTCCACCTCCGCCACCACCGCCGCCTCCGCTCCCACCACTACCGCCTCCGCCGCCTCCGCCTCCACTACTGCCACCGACACCTCCACCCCCGCCACCACACCCACCGCCACCCCCACTCCCTCCGCCGCCTCCACCGCCACCTCCGCCACCCCCGCTAGCTCCACCCGCGCCCTTGCCCCCTTTGCCCTTGCCAGAGCGGGGTCTCCCGCTAGGGGCAGACGCCGCACCGACCGACTCAAGACCAAAAAGGTCGGCCGCAGCAGCAGAAGCAACAGAGGGCAAAAGGGGGGATGGGGAACACCCCTCAAAGATGGGGGTGCGAGGGTCACCACGAGAGGCTCCTACAGCGACTATGCTCTTCTCCGCTGCTAGGAGGGCCTTCTCTAGGAGGTCAACAGTGAGAGTGGTGGGACAGACCGAGACGAAGTGGTCCCTGACTACACGAAGGGAGTCAGGGAGGTGCGTGACTATATAATAGAGAGTGATGTACATAGGGGGGGGGGTTCTTGGCGCAGAATTCAGCAGGAAGCACAGCGCGGTAGCGAGTGTTACTAGCGCGGAGGTGCGTAACGAGGTCAACGACTGTGGGAAAGGCAACAAGGTCAGGGAAGAGGTACGGCAGCATGAGGCGGCTCAGTGCAGCAGTGGTAGGGGAAGAGTAGCCCTGTGCACGACACAAGGCTCCCATACGGGCAGAGGAAAACTCACCGCCTCTATCTGACTGCAGACGCAGAATAGGAAAGTCCGAGCTGGAACTCTCTTTGAGCTGGAGACAATCTACATGGCTCCAATCGATCAGCACCTCAGTGACGTCGCCCTTGCTGTGCAAGGGGAAGACTATCGTGTAACGCAAGTAGTCGTCAACCACCAGCAGGAAGTACCGCTCGCGACCCTGCCCACGGACGCGGGCTTGGTCCCACACGTCAATGTGGAGAGTCTGCAGCGGAGCCTCTGTTGGAGGAAACTCGGAGGACTGAGGGGCGGCGCGCTGTCGCCCCTCGACGCAAGTGACGCAGTAAGGGCGAGGCCCCGAAGGTAGGGGAGGGAGAGACCGAGGGTGACCAGAGAGAAGGACACGGGAGGCCATGCCTCGGAGACGAGGCAGGGAGGGGTGACCAAGGCGGCGGTGCCAAAGGAGAATGTGGTGGGACAGTAGACGAGACAAGCAAGGAGCAGACTCAGGACCAGACCTGGACGTTGCAGCAAACACCTGACTCGACGCAGCTACCCGGGCAGACTTAGCAGCCGGAGGAGACTCAGTAGTAAGGGTGTACAAGCTCGACCCTGGCCGACGGGTGAACGTGGCCAAGTGTCGGCCTGTCTGAGCACACGTGCAGTGGGTCACCCGCTCACTCGCAGGAGTGAACTCGTCAACCCCCCTATCCTGTAGGTCCGCTTCACTCACCAAGTTTGTAGAGAACGAGGGGAAGTAGAGACCTGTTAGGGCGCCAGAGGGGGCTGCCGGGCACGATAAGACTGTAGAGAAGCTAGCAAGGATAGGATCCCCAGAGGGATCTGCCAGGGAGACTGCAACCGGCTGATTGAGCGGCGTAAGAGTGGTGCGGTCTCGAAAGGAGCGGGACGCATCCGAGTCAAGGGTGAAGGTGTGTAAGGCCTGAGCCGACGTAGTACCTGAGAGTGCAGACTCACTAGCACCTTGGGCAGCGGACGCACTAGCACCTGGGGCAGCAGACGCACTAGCACCTAGAGCAGCAATCTCATCAGCACCTAGAGCAGTAGCCTCAATGCCCGGGTCAGGTGGTACACACAGGTAACAGTCACCCACAACACTATCATCAACAGCATACATGGCAGCAAGGATAGCATCAAAATCAAGATCAAAGATAGCAAACCCCGCCCTAGACAGCTCTCCCCAGCGAGGGATCTCAGAGGCCCTAGGGAACAAGTGACGCCACGCGTCCGTCAGACGGCCGAAGCAGCGCTGGGTGGGGTGCGGGCCCCCGCACTGCTCACCAGCGCGGT